CTGCCTGCCTGCCTGCCTGCCTATCTATCTATCTATCTATCTATCTATCTATCTATCTATCTATCTATCTATCTATCTATCTAATCAACATCCATTTCCTCACTGCTTTACAAAATGTTTAACTGCCAGAATCCTGTATCAAACAAATAACAATTTCTGGTGCATTCTAGGTGATGATGGCTTTGTCAAATCACTTAAATGCTGTAGAATCAGAGAAGCAGAAATTACGTGCTCAGGTTCGTAGGCTGTGTCAAGAAAACCAGTGGTTAAGAGATGAACTAGCCAATACCCAGCAGAAATTGCAAAAGAGTGAACAGTCTGTGGCTCAGCTGGAAGAAGAAAAGAAGCACCTTGAATTCATGAATCAGTTAAAAAAATATGATGATGACATATCACCTTCAGTAAGTAACATCAATTAAATTGCACGATTTTCTCTAAATTCCCTTCTGTGAATGAACGTTACTCTGGAAATATTTGTAATTTTTAAGGCAGATTTATTTTTTTTTAATATTCATAGGTATGTACAAAGACTGTATAATCTTTGTACATAATGTGACTCTTGCTTATTGCAGTATTGAATTCCAAAAAATGTGTAATTTTGTAGTGAAGATAATGTAGCCTCTTTTGAGTTAAGGACTGTATTTTGCTTTTAGTTGCAAGCCACAGGACAGCAGTCTAAAAATATGTGGGGCAGGTCAGGAATTAAATAGGTACAATTAATACATCTTTAAAACCAGTTGATTTCTGCTCCCACTGTTTCCCAAATGCACCTTCCAATCTAATTATGCTATATATTATATATGCTGTATGCTATATGTTTTATTGATTTGATTTGATTTTTATCCCGCCACAATTTTACGACTCTTGGGGGTTATAGTTTCACAATTAAAAGAACAACAACAGAATTAAAACAACATACAATCCAAAATCAAAAAGAATCTGTGTTTTGATTCAGTAATTTTAACTGTCTGAATATCTGGGGTACGTTTTAGGAGGACAAAGACACAGATTCTGCCAAAGAGCCATTGGATGATTTATTCCCCAATGATGAAGATGACCAAGGACAAGGAAGTAAGTTATAGTTATAATTAATGTTACTAGACTTACCAGACTAGACTGAATCTGCGATTCGCTTCTGAAACTGAGTCCTTTGAGAATAAGCCTCCATCCAAAATTAGAAGTTGGGGAGAACTCTCTGTTTTCCCCATCCACCCCCAGTTATGTTGTCTTGCCAGATGAGAAGAACAACTGCTAGTGAGTGGTCCTTCACATTTCTTCTTTTTCATGAGCTGAGCTACATTTTCCTAAAAACCAGGTAATTTGAAGAGCAAGCAGTATGAAAGCACTGCAACATTGTTTACAGAACGTGCCCAAAATGATGTATTCTCGAACAGCAGCATGTCATATTGTTAAGCATAATAGGTTTGTGGAAATCAGTCCACAATGTTTTATAGGTAAAACATTAGTGTGTACGATCTTAGTGAAAGTCAGTTCATCTATAGTAATGGTTGGTTGACTGGTTAGTTGATTTATAATGAAACAGTTTCAGTCAAGGCTACTTTAAATGGTATACAAAAGCAACAGCTGCCGCCATTGCCATAGTATTCATATCATAACTTATAATAACAGAAATACAATATAAAACGACGGGTAAAATTGTAATTAATATACCTGCATTGAGAAATTTATAGCCCCCCTCCCAAAGTTGTTCTGGGACAGCCAAGCTTTTATGAGCTTCCAGAAGATCAAGAGAGAGGGAGCTAACTTTGTCTTAGAACTTAATGGGCTTATTCTGATTATTTTTTTATTTCCAGTTCAACAGCCACATAGCAGTGCAGCAGCAGCTGCGCAACAAGGTGGTTATGAGATTCCAGCAAGATTAAGGACCCTTCATAATCTTGTCATTCAGTATGCTTCCCAAGGTAGATATGAGGTTGCTGTACCACTTTGTAAACAAGCACTCGAAGACCTTGAAAAGACTTCAGGCCACGATCACCCTGACGTTGCCACTATGTTGAACATACTTGCATTAGTATACAGGTCAGTATGGTTATGAATACAGTTAAATAAATATCGTGTGTTTAAGAATATACTGATGTTGCAGAGCAATGCTGTTAAGACAGTAAAGTTAAAAACATCCCCATGCAGTAAACACCCTAAGCCCAAAGGCTTATAACAAAAGCCAGTTTTTTTGCCGTTTTTCAAAATGTTAACAATGTGAGGTAAATTGGTCCAAAGGCGCAGGGCCACCATTTTTTTCTCCCCAAGCTCCCAAGGAAAGGGGATTTACAGTGTCTGCTTGTGGGCTGATTGAACAGGACTGGCAAATTCTGATTGGAGAGTCAAAACCAAGTTTATAGACCTATTCCATTAACCTTCTATTTCCATTTATAGAGCTTTTTTAAAAAGCCCAACCATAATTAGGTTTATAACGAATCAATTCAGGATGGCAGTTTTATTCACAGGATTTCATTTTACAGTGTCACAATACTTCCAGTGCTGTGTGACAGAGATCTGAACCCAGGAGGCCTGTCACTATAAGATGTTCATATATGTGGTCAGAATAGCTACCTATAATTTCATGAAACACTGCAATCTTATATCTGTCTATCTGGGACTAAGCCTCATTAAATTGAATGGGATTTATTTTTGAATAGACATAGATGGGACTCTGCTATAATTTACATATTGTCTCTTCAAACCCAGAAGTTTGTAAGCTAGAAAAGGATTAGTTATATTCTTGCTACCTCATCTTTTCCTATGCCCAGGATGTTCATCTCTTTGATAGTTAGCCAGTAACATTAACTGATAGAATAGTGGTCGTTATTTGTGTCATTCTCCAATCATCTTGACTGGAATTTCCAGTTTCTTGAGTTCAAGTAGTTTACCCTTGGGGAGCTTGGGTCGCCTGGGCTCCGGTGTGACAGTCTCAGAGTCCAACATGCCTCTTGAGATGCATTCTGTTAGCTGAATAGCTGAACAAAAATGTCTTCCCACTCCTCATTAGCATGCAAGATTGCTCCCCACCATCACTAACTGAGCTATCCCTTCAAACCTGGAAGCTAGAATTTTGTGTTTACAAGTCTTATTATCTCTACTAAAAATGTACATAGAAGTTCTATAGCATTTTAATTCCAGGACACAGTACTGTTAATTTTTTAAAATCCTCTTATTTTTGTAGGTTTCCACAAGGCTAAGTAATACACCGTCTTATTTCAGCTATATCTGCTAGTTAAACCCGGGAACTGGATCCACCTTTATTTTACTATTGGCAAATGCTTGTGATGGTTCCACAAAATCCTATAGTAAAGGTTTAGCTTCATTGTTAGCTTCACTAACATCTACATGCAAGATTTTGAAGTGAAGTCTTGAATATTTATATAATGTTTATTTAATGCATTTATAAACTAGTGTATGTTAATTATTTCTTCCAAATTTAGGGACCAGAATAAATACAAAGATGCAGCAAATTTACTGAATGATGCCCTGGCCATTCGTGAAAAGACCTTAGGCAAAGACCATCCAGCGGTTTGTATATAGGGCAGATTTTGGTTTTTCCTATTATGTAAATACAAATTCTTTTCCTTAAAACTCATTTTAATGTTAAACTTAAAAGGAAGTTTTTAAAGTCCTTGTTTACTGTTAAACAAAATTGAAGTTAGAGGACCCTCAATTGTTTTGAATTTGTAATAACTGAATACAAATCTTTTTAGCTCCATTTACTTAAATTACATTTGTCCAAATACAATATATTCCTTTGTTTGCTGAAACAAGTGTTGTCTATAACAATATTCCTTGAATAAACAATTCAGAGAAGAGAATTGTTCACATTTGAGGTACCCTAAAATATAAGTACGTGACCTACTTAATTTTTAAAAATAATTTTGGCAGGTATAATAGTTGATCTAGTACTTGTTTTTTCCTGCAGGTTGCAGCAACTTTAAATAATCTTGCTGTGCTTTATGGGAAAAGAGGAAAATACAAAGAAGCTGAACCTTTATGCAAGAGAGCTTTGGAAATCAGAGAAAAGGTAATATTATTTACAGTTTTTGTAACCTACTGTTTTGCCAATTGTCAAGGCAGTTGTCAGGTGCCCAGGCAGTTGGTTCTTTTCGTTCTTTTAGATTGAGAGACAATGAACACACCAGTAGGTAAAGAGATTTTAAGCTTTACTGTTAACTCTAGCAAACAGATTTAAACAGGAATATAAGAATGGAAAATAGAATTAAACAGAAATATATAAACATTGTATAAAAGCATAACATACCAAGCAAGATGATAAAACTCTTCCCCTACCATCGGGAGCTACCATAAGGCAACAGCAGAGAGACCCCAAGATAGCTTAGATAACACAGCGCCTAGTCCCAAGGCCTGTGCCCACGCTCCAAATTCCAGGAGCAATGCCAGGGCTTTTTATTAAAGTCTGGCACTGAAATCCCATGACTGTTTTGGAGTCAGGGGCTTTGAAAGTTACCTTGACCAGATGTTATACCTCCTCATCAAAAAATTCCAGAGCCTGAGAACTGTATAGATAAGCTAGTGCTTAACCTAAACAATCCTGAGGGTTTTTCTCCCCTCACCCCCCTTCTAAATAAAAGTGAAAAACAAGTCAGCTACACATTATTATGATTCAAAGTGAGCTTTTTAAATATGTGTAGGAGAAATCAAAGTATTGCACTTAAACTCCTTGAAATAACGATGGTCTTCTGCATTGCCACTACACCTACCTCAATCCAGAGACTCTGGGTGGTATACAAAATAACTTCTAAAGTTTTGACAGTAATAGCAACTTGCCACATACTTTTACCAAACAACACAATAATTAAAAATGAATCCAGTAAAATTAGCTTAGAATCCAATAAACAAATATTAATATAAACCAGAATAACATTACATTAAAACAATGCCCTGGGTTAGGTTTGTTGAGGATATATTACAATTATAATATGCATGTAGGCTAAAATAGAAACTATGTATGCAATTTTGGAAGATTTAGGATTTTTTTGTTATAAATATTTGGCATAATTTGGATATACTGTAACTTGTTATCATAGGACATAAAATATTTTTAATAGGACAAGGAGGTTTGTTAACAAGGAATGTTGTATAAACCTTTTTCCAAGCAGTTTCATGATATAATCAACATATCAAAAAACCTGTGAAAACATCAGCATGTGCTGCAGGAAAAAAAAGAGAGCCAAATGTTATTTTTTAAAATAGTTGTTACATGAATGTTTTAAGCATATTTATCATGTGACATTATTTTTTATTCTAAGGGAAACTCTCTTAATCACAGAATTGTAATCTAAAAAGAAGGGGATTGGGGACTGTTCCCACTTTGCTAGCTAAAATCTGAGAGTAGAGCCCTCACAACAGAAGAAGGAGATTCTGGAGAAAACAGTAAGAATGCCTTGATGGAGGTTGAGAAGTTGGCCAATAGGGGACAAAGATAATTTCCTGCAAGTTATCTAAAAACTGTTTATTTGAGGCCTTCTATCAACACGATGGAATCAAGAAATTAATGATGTTGGAGAGCTACAAATAAACTAGAAGAAAAGAAAGTCTAAGGAAATAATATGAAATTACATAACCAGGGAATTTCAGTGCTTGAAATTGAAGGGAATGGATGATAGTTGCTTGCTATCATTCCTCACAGAAGCATTCCAGCTCAAAGTGCACGGTGGATTTAAATTCATATGAATGGCATACCCCAACAATTGAATTGCCCAATCTTTTCTGCCATTGCATCTTTGTGTATTGAAAATACTCTAGATTAAATTGTTCCGAGACTAGTGATTAACTCTTAAAAAACTTTATGTTCTAGGGAAGGCTGTACTCCACAAAACAACCCAGAATTGTGCTAGAAAATTTGCTTTGGGCTCCCAATATGTTTTTGTAAATAATGCCATGGAAGAACTATTCATGGTTCTTTCTTTTCCCATCCAAAACTTCTAAACGAAGGCACTGTTTACCAGAGCTGGCCACGCTTGTTTAACTGTAAGCAATTCTGTGAAGTTGTAACTGAAAATCTTAAAGCATTGTAACAAGAAAATCATGAACCAGAATATCTCCTTAACATCTGCATTGCATGTAAATATATCCAGGTAATGTTGATTGATAAGTATTTGGACTTGGGATATACCGTATTTTTCCATCAATAAGACACCCCCATGTACAAGACGACCCCCACTTT